GCCAATTGATTAGCGCAGCCAGGTCCTTCTTCACCTGGTACTTCCAACGAAGTGGAGGTCTTCCTCTTCCTCTGCTTCCCCCGGCGGTTACAGCGTCTTTTAGAGATGGAGTGTTTTCGTCCATTCGGACGAATTCATAACAAGCATATCTGCTGTATTTTAATTCCATGAACTATGTCAATGTCGTCATATATCTCATACAGCTCATCGTTCCATACAATGCGATAATCGCCGTGGACCATATGGACCATAAATCTTTCGCAGCACTTTTCTCTCGAAAACTCGCAACGTTGACTCATCATSATCCAAGCCTCTGCATCCCATAGCAGGACGGGAATTATGAGTGCCTTATAGCGATTGGTTGCTGTTCGTCGAGAGAGAGCTTCGCATCTCAGTAGCCTACTCAGTCCGAAGTAGCACCTGTTGACAAGAGTCGTCCTGCGTTGGATTTCCAGGCTGACATTATTGGTGGTGTTTACGCATTTGTTTTGCTTGCTTGTCCTTTCTGGAGAATGCAGAACTAGCGGCGCGAATGTTGAGGTCGAAGATATCAATATCATCGGCATACGACAACACCTGTACAYTCTTATAAAAGATTGTACCTGCTCGATTAAGTTTCTGCATTATATCTCCAGAAGCAGGTTGTCTAAAACCTCGTTTGGTATCGGCTCGGAGAGGTTCTTTCCAATTCTGACGGAGCTTTTGGTGTTGCTCAACGTCATCTTACACAGCCGTATTAGTTTTGCGGGGATACCAAATTCAGACATCGCGGCGTAAAGGCAGCTCCTTTTCGTGGTGTCGAAAGCAGCTTTGAAAGYGACGAAGAGGTGGTGAGTGTCGRTTCTCCTTTCACGGTCTTTTCCAAGATTTGGTGCATGGTGAATATCTGGTCGGTTGTTGATTTTCCAGGTCTGAAGCCACATTGATAAGGTCCAATCAGTTTGTTGACGGTGGGCTATAATCTTTCACACAATACGCTCGATAGAACCTTATATGCAATATTTGAGGAGGCTTATTACACTGTAGTTGGCGCAGATTGTGTCGTCTCCTTTTTTGTGGATTGGGCATAGCACATTTAAATTCCAATCGTTGGGCATGCTTTCGTCCGACCATATGTTACAAAGMAGCTGATGCATGCTCCATCGGCCCCCGCCGATTTGTTGTCTTTAGGTCTTTAGGCGGGTAATTGCTATTCGAACTTCTTCCTGGTCTGGCAATGGAACGTCTGCTTTATCGTATAGCTGTTCCTTTGCACTTTCCGAATGCCAATGGTTTCGGTTGAAGCTGTACATAACGAGTTTGAAATGCCGTCCCATAGTTCCCTTATACCGAGTTGTTGACGAGTGCTCTCAGAGAGCAGGAGTGCAAGCCGAGTAGAAAATCGTTCGGCGGTCTCTTGTGATAGCAGCTTCTCGACATTGAACCTTCCTTGGGTTTGTTGGCGAGCGTTTTTTTTTTTTTGTGCACCGAGGCGGGTGCGAATATTGCCTGCAACAAGATAGTGATCCGAGTCGATGTTATGGCCTCGCAGCGCACGCACATCTAAAACACTAGAGACGTGTCTTCCGTCTATCACAACATGATCGATCTTGTTGGTGGTTTTTCGATCCGGAAACAGCCAGRTAACTTGATGAATCTTCTTAAGCTGGAATCTAGTACTACAGATAACCATATTTCGGGCCCCGGCGAAGTCGATCAGCCTCAACCCATTTGGGTATGTTTCCTCGTCGAGGCTAAATTTAGCGACCGTAGTGCCAAAGATACCTTCATTGCCCACCCTGGCGTTACAGCTGCCAAGCACGATTTTGACATCTCGGCGGGGGCAGCTCTCAGAAGTGCACTCCAAGCGCTAATAAAAAGAATCTTTGGTCACATCGTCCTTCTCTGCCGCCGGGACGTGGGCGCAAATCAGCGATATCTCGCTTTGATGCGGATTGTGGCAAGACATGACAATACTCGGCGACGGAGTCTCTCTCCCAACAGGAATCCCACACCAAACCTGCGCTCCTTTATATGACCACTGTAGTAACTGCCACAAGGACCTACTCGCCTCTGTTCTTGTGATGTCAGCCCTTATTTTCACGAGGACATCAACCAGCAGGGCAGYGGCACCTTTCCATTTAAGCAACTGGATAATCCAGGTGCATGCCCTCAGGTCCTTATTTCAAAAGGCGGGTTTCTCATCAAAAGCTGGTTGTTACTATTCACTGGGGGTTTGGTTTTACGTGGCGGGTCCCAAACCCAACGCACAACCCTATGTAGGGAATATTTCGCCTTCAAACGGATGTTCTTAGGCTACCCAGAAGATACTTTGTCAAAGACCGGAATTTATGAGCTGCCTGAGTCATATGTAAAATAATAATTTCTGGCCACTCCCAAGTGACTGGTGATCAGGGAATTTTCCTCACATGCGAGAACTTCTACACATGACGCCATCATCCTCCATCCTTGTAACTAACTTCAATAAAATACATTATAGTACAAGAAGATTAATTATATATATTTACTTCAAATTACATTAGAGAAATGAAAAATCGTCAAATTCTTCTTCTTCTTCTTCTTCTTCTTAATTGGTGTAGACACGGCTTACGTGGTTAGACCGAGTTAACAACAGGGCGCCAGTCGTTTGTTCTTGTCGCTACGTGTCTCCAATTGGATATTCCAAGCATAGCCAGGCCCTTCTGCACCTGGTCCTTCCAGCGGAGTGGAGGTCTTCCTCTTCCTCTGCTTCCCCCGCGGGTACAGCGTCGAATACTTTCAGAGCTGGAGTGTTATCGTCCATTCGGACAACATGACCTAACGAGTGTAGCCGCTGTCTTTTTAATTCTCTGAACTATGTCAATGTCGTTATACTTACATTCTATATATAAAAATTAATCGCAAAATGTGTTGCTAAGCGCATAACTCAATAACGCCTGGACCAATTTGGCCAATCCTTTTTTCTAAATGTTGGTAGAGGTTCAAGGATGGTTTTTACGACAAGAATAATTGCCGGAAACCCCTTATGAACAACTATTTTCTATTTACAATACAAACGAATGATAGTTCGTTAGTAACACTAAGAGAAGAATCTTAATGAAATTTGGAGAGGTTGTGCGTTGTGGATCGGGGAAGGTTTAGAAATAAAAACACCTTATGATTTTCATGAGGAAAGGTCGGAAAATTGGGCGATTCCAAAAAGTAACTTTTTTCCATACACATTGTTTTCCAAATTTTTGTTTGTTTTGTTTTTAATCTTTTGATTTGTAAATTATTTGARTCGTTCAATTTCGGTCGCTTGCTTTTTTATACCGGCTATTAAAATGGCAAATTATTGAAAATTAKTCAGAGAAAACTTTATGTGCGTTTCACATAAATGGATGAATTGCATATTGAAATTTGTTACGAAGCCACGAAGAAGCCTCTTTGCTATCAACGTATGGCAGCCAAAGGCAAGGCAAGGCAAGAAGTACTCCCAGGATGCATTGCGGAATCAGCAAGCGATCGTCACGATGTCACAGCACGACCTTTCAAACAACAGTTACGATGTTTTATGGAATGTTAGATGCTAGATGTACTCTATTGAGTGGCAAAAGAGAGGTTAGCCGCACGTACATATTCTTCTTTGGATGGTGGTTACACTAGATCAAATTGATGAACTCATTTCTGTGGAAAGTCCCGATGCAGAAATAGGTCCAGGACTATACGAAGTGGTAAAAACCAATATGGTTCATGGACCTTTTTTACATCACAATCCCACTTCGGGTTGTATGTCTGACAATATAYGCACGGATATCCGCTCTATCGGCGTCACTCACCAGACGACAATGGCAGAGCATTCAGCATTAGAAGAGTGAATATCATATGGATCGCACYATATTCACCTATATTGTCTAATTCACATTCAAAACAAATATCAATGATGAGTATTGCACTTTGGTGTAATCGAGAACATACACGTGTAAGTACGTTACCAAAGGAGGCAACATGACGCTTTTTGGTCTTGAATGATATGGTCGATACGTGAAYTGCAATAGAGCGTTTTGTAGGATATTTATTTCTGCAATTCATGAACGTTTTCCGACTGATAAGCGTCTGGCTATTAATTTGGAGAATAGCCAGACAGTGTATTTCAATACGGAGAAAACAGTGCAGTCAACAGAAATACCGCCAGCAACAAAATTAACATTGACGAGTTTTTTCTCATCTTTCGTCAATGATCCGTTTGTTAGAACATTGCTCTATTCGAAAATACCTTAATATTATACAGGGAATGCATCGTCGAAGAAATAGTTACGCAGGAATCAAGGCCAACCAGTAGATGGACATCCAAGTGTGTTACCAATCAATGTATTAGGACGAATTAAAATAATCCACCCAAAAAACGACGATTGTTTCTACCTTCGATTGCTATTGATTAATGTACGCGGTACAACTTCATTTGAGTCATTGTGTTCTATGAATAGTACGGTGAGGAGGAGATAACCTGTTATCACCAAGGGAGTGACCCCCTGGAGGCATGTTTCTTGTTGTTCACTGTACTATAATATATACACTCTTTTACACGTGCTTTAAATTAAAGTTCTTGATGTTAGAATGCACTTACGAAATGGGTGTGAGAGAATAGAAAAAAACCACCAATAGCACAAAACACAACCGTTCGCTTTGGGTATCAGTCGATGACTGAGATGTGATATTTAAAACTTTGTTCATTTATAAATATTAACGTATTTATTTTGCGACTTAATGCACTTTTACTATTTTTCATTGAGACTTTATCTGGAGATTGGGAACGTTGTTAGCATCCGATCTCACTATGTGAGTAACATATGTATAATATAGATAATCATAATTTTTTCTCAAGTTTCTCAAGTTTTTTCTTCGGTGGAATGCTGGAAGCTATTACTAGTTTTAGCTTAACCATATTACAATTGGTATTGTGACTCGTATGAATTAATTGGAGTAAAATGAATTAATGTTTCATGTGACTTTCAATTTGACAGTTTTTTATTCATACTTACTGCGAGAAATATATGTATTTAATCTTTCACAACCTTCTATCATTTCAATATCCCCAAGACAGTCTCCTGGCCCGCTAATAGATTCTAATTTGTCCACATATGTGCATTTTGTCTGATAAGGATAAAGCTTAATGTAATTTTAAAACGACCTTAATATTGGAGAATTATTTGTTATACTAACCCGATCAAAAACTCTTTTATATAGTTCCACTTCTCCACTTAGAATAAAATACACCGTGGAAGGTGGATCGCCTTCCTTTATTATTTTCCTTCCAGGACCCACGAAACATAACTTAATTACTGGTGTTAGTCTAGCTCGTACTTTCTGGGGAATATATACATATATCTTCATTTGAAATTAAAATGCCAAATTTAATCGATAACTAACCGGTGGTATTCGAGAAAAACACGTGAGGCTTGCCAATAAATTAACTAACTTTTTCCGGTCGTTTATTGAGCGAAGGTAGTGATGGGTTCGCAATAATGTCTTTTCCTTAAATAATACAATTAAATTTTATTAAAATTAATTAACTTATGATTTAGTAGTTATCGGAGCATTTAACTGATATTAAATTAGTTATGTTACGTGAAACTACTGCAGGACATTTCATAATTTTTTAGAATAACCCACGATCCAATATTACCAACCAAAATGTAAAGTTAACTTTTTTTGTAGTCAAAAAAATACAAATACTTCTTACTTTCGTTGTCAAGGTTAGTTAATTAAGGGTTTGCATAACAATTAAAGTATTTACGCTAAGCCTTTCACGAATACTGCCTCTGAAGTCTGCCAGCTTATAACTAAAAACTATCGAAATATACTAGTACCTATATATCATAAAAACTCAGAAAAAATCTTTATTTATCAATATTACGCCCGTGTGCCAAAAATGAGTTGAATCGAATTAATAATTCACTTCATCTCCATATAATTAATAGGCCGACTATGTACCTCAAATATGGACCAATATGTGAGTTATATTAGCGAAATTGAAATAGCAAATAGCATGGAATGTCCGGTCCCTTAATTGGGAAGGTGCCGCTGCCCATCTGGTTGATGTCCTCGTGAAAGTAAAGGCTGACATCACCGCCGACCAAGAAATGCGATGGACGGGACAAGGACAGACACGAATAGGTCGTTGTGGCATTTACTACAGAGGCCATATAAAGGAGTGTAAGTTTGATGTGGGGTTCGTGGTGGCGAGAGACTCTGTCGCCGAGTAATATCATTCACTCCAGTGAATGCACGTCTAGCCATAAGCCGCATCAAAGCGAGGTTCTTCAACATATCGCTGATTTGCGCCCACGCCCCGACGGAAGAGAAGGACGATGTGACCAAAGATRCCTTTTATGAGTGCTTGGAACGCACTTATGAAAGCTGCCCCCGCCACGATGTCGAAATCGTGCTTGGCGACTTTAACGCCAGRGTGGGCRAAAAAGGTATCTTTGGCACTAYGGTCGGYAAATTMMGCCYCCACGAMGAAACATCCCCAAAYSRGTTGAGGCTGATCGACTTGGCCGGGGCCCGAAATATGGTCTCCTGAATCAGAAGACCACCAACCAGATCGACCGTGTTGCGATAGACGGAAGACACGTCTCCAGTGTTCTAGATGTGCGTGCGCTCCGAGGTGCTAACATCGACTCGGACCACTATCTTGTTGCAGCCAAGATTCACACCCGCCTCTGTGCAGCAAAAACGTTCGCCATCAAACACAAGGAAGGTTCGACGTCGAGAAGCTGCAATCACAACAGACAGCCGAACCATTTTCTACTCGGCTTGCACTCCTGCTCTCTGAGAGCACTCGTCAACAACTCGTGTCGCAGCGGAGAGTCAACACGCTGCCTACCTGGCAAGAAAAAGAAAGAGGYCGAAGTGCGTGTGTACGAAGAGCTTGATCAGCTGGCCGACAGGGTAATGCTCGAAAATTCTACGAAAACATGCGGCGCCTTACAGAAGGTTTCAAGACCGGGGCATACTCTTGTAGAACCCCAAGGGTGATCTAGTCACCAATGCCCAGAGCATACTTAAATTATGGAGGGAATACTTCTCCAGTCTGCTGAATGGCAGTGCRCACACAACGCCAGGAGAAGGCGAACCCGATTTCCCAATCGATGACGATAAAGCAGACGTTCCATTGCCAGACCAGGAAGAAGTTCGAATAGCAATTACCCGCCTAAAGAAAAACAAATCGGCGGGGGCCGATGCATTGCCGGCCGAGCTATTCAAACACGGCGGCGAAGAACTGATAAAAGTTCGGACGAAAGCATGCCCAACGATTGGAATTTAAGTGTGCTATGCCCAATCCACAAAAAAGGAGACCCCACAATCTGCGCCATCTACCGTGGGATAAGCCTCCTCAAAATTGCATATAATGTTCAATCGAGCGTATTGTGTGAAAGATTAAAGCCCACCGTCAACAAACTGATTGGAMCTTATCAATGTGGCTCCAGACCTGGAAAATCAACAACCGACCAGATATTCACCATGCACCAAATCTTGGAAAAGACCCGTGAAAGGAGAATGGACACCCRCCACCTCTTCGTCGCTTTCAAAGCTGCTTTCGACACCACGAAAAGGAGCTGCCTTTATGCCGTGATGTCTGAATTTGGTATCCCCGAAAAACTAATTCGGCTGTGTAAGCTGACGTTGAGCAACACCAAAAGCTCCGTCAGAATCGGGAAGGACCCCTCCGAGCCGAGGTTTCAGACAAGACTCCCTATCGTGCGACTTCTTCAACCTGCTTCTGGAGAATATAATTCGTGCTGCAGAACTAAATCGAGCAGGTAACATATTTTATTAGAGTGTACAGCTGCTGGCGTATACCGATGATATTGATATCACCAAACTCAGCACCCGCGCCGTTAGTTCTGCTTTCTCCAGACTGGACAAGGAAGCAACACAAATGGGTCTGGCAGTGAACGAGGGCAAGACGAAATATCTCCTGTCATC